TTTCTAAGGTTATACCAGTCCATAAAAAGGGGCCTAAAAATCTTATTGCTAACTAGGCCTATATCTATTATCCCTGCAGTGTCGAAGGTCTTGGAACATCTCGTACATCGTAGATTTTCTCAGTATCTTGAGGATAGTAACCTTTTAGCAAGTAGTCAGTTTGGCTTTAGGCCCAAACACAGCACTGTCCAAGCAACCCAGGCACTGATATCAAATTGCTTTCAAAGTTTAGAGGCCAAAAGTGGCATAGTGTTTAGATCGTACGACATGTCTAAGGCCTTTGACACAGTGGCTCATGATCTCCTTGTGGATAAGCTTTCTTGCTATAACCTTGATTGCAGTTTTGGTTAGGTTCTTTCAATCTTATCTCAGTGACAGATGGCAAAAAGTCTATCTAAACGGCACTTATTCTAGACCTGTCGAGTGCCCCACGGAGTGCCCCAAGGCTCTATATTGGGCCCTACCCTGTTTATACTGTATATAAATGACTTACCTTGTAATATTAATGACTTATCTGTAAAAAGCTTTCTTTTTGCTGATGACTTGGCCTTATGTGTACGGGGTAACTCTTTGAATGAATGGTTACAGATACATTGGATACAAAATCTGCTGTTATTAATGACTGGTGTAATGCAAACAAGTTATGTCTTAATGCTGATAAGACTCAAGACCTAACTATTAGCATAGTCTTAGCAGTAATGGTAATGATGTAAACACTCTGAAGTTTTTGGGTTTTCACTTGCAATCAAACTTGAAGTGGTTTTCACATGTAGATTTTGTAGCTTCTAAAATTGTAAAAGGCATATTTATGATAAGAGCACTTATTTAGATCCACTGTTTCAGTTGATGTCCTTATTTGTATATATTATGGTCACATTCATAGCTATTTGTCCTATATGGTACCTCACTGTGGCCCAACAGTTTTTATGCTAACAGGTTGCTCTTTACTTTACAAAAGAAGGCGGTGAGGTTAATTTGTAGTGTGAATAGAAGAACACATTGTAAGCCCCTTTTTGTGGGTCTTAACATTCTCACATTTCCATCTTTGTATGTTTTGGCAAGTTTGTTGTATGTAAAAGAAAACATTTCTCACTTTGAAAAGATATCTGATGTGCACAACAGCACAACTACTATACTAGATCAAAAGATAATCTGTCTACACTAAGGCATAAGTATACAGCCACTCAAAATAGTTTTGAGTACCAAGGTGTAAAAATGTACAATTTCTTGCCTGCATCCATCAAAAACCCGTGTGTTTTAAAATTCAAACATGTTTTAAAAACTACTCTAACCCAGGCTTGCCTGTATAAACATGAAGAGTACTTTGGTTTAGAGTTTTAGATATTTTAGTTGCCAGAGCAATCTTGATTGTTTTGTTTTTATTTTGACGATTGTCATGAACTTTGTACATAGTTTTAACGACAATAAATCATTTCATTTCATTTCATTTCATTTCATAGTTGAGGGGGTACATATTTTAAAATGCTAAATTCCTTTAATGTAGTATATGGGGTGTTAGCACCTCAGTCTAGCTATCCTACCCGATGTCAAGTATCTAGCACCTCATTCCATCCCCATGTTAAAGTTGTAGCCAGGTTTTTAATAAAATTTGTCTTAGTTTATGTGAGCCACCTACAGATTGCACTGATCTAAATTACTGATTTCTGCCGATTACATGATGGTTTTTACCAAGTCAAACTGATGGAATGACTTATTATGAGCTATAGCAACTGTGTGACCCAGCAACTATGTCAGTAACGAAAAATAAGGTACAAAATAGAGTTTTAGACACTAGCGCAATCTGTGACTGGCTCACACAACTACATTCGTTTTTAGTAAAAAATTGGGGACAGCTGGTCCCATATAGATGAGATGTCTTCATCCCCATGTTAAAGTTGTAGCCAGGTTTTTAATAAAATTTGTCTTAGTTGATGTGAGCTACCTACAGATTGCGCTGATCTAAATTACTGATTTCTGCCGATTACATGATGGTTTTTACCAAGTCAAACTGATGGAATGACTTATTATGAGCTATAGCAACTGTGTGACCCAGCAACTATGTCAGTAACGAAAAATAAGGTACAAAATAGAGTTTTAGACACTAGCGCAATCTGTGACTGGCTCACACACCTACATTCGTTTTTAGTAAAAAATTGGGGACAGCTGGTCCATATAGATGAGATGTCTTCTAGCACGTATATGAATGAGTGACAGTTGACCTTTAAACCTGTAGGTCTAGTGCTCAGAAAAGAAATTTAGAATCTTTGGAAAACCCGCCATTTTAGTTTTTTTTCTGAGGGGTGTAAGAGTTTTAAAATGTCTTTTTAGGATTTTCCATCAAAATTGAGAGAATTATAAGTAGGACTATAAAAGGTAATTTAAAAAAATAAAACCACCTCAAACTTCAAGGAATGTGAATGTCATACAACTTTAGAAGTAGGGCGTTTTTATTGGGGGGGGGGGGGGGTTGAAGGGGTGTGTGATTGTCGGAAAATATCCAGAAGGGTTTTGTAGTAAGTTTAATTCCTGACCATGAATATTCTAGCAAATATTTGCTAAACCCGTTTTTGAGTTATAGAAGTTTAAAAACAAGTGTTATGTTATTTCAGATGTCCACCATGTTGGATTTTGAGGGGTTGAACATTTAAAATGGGACTTTTGAAAATGTAATGGCTAATTTAAGATGAAGTTGTACACTAATGTAAAGTTGTCCAAGTCTCTAGTACATTTCTAAACGGTTTAGATCCGCTTACCAAAGTCGGTCACTTACGAGGTTATTCCAGGACCGCGCCGAACTTGGACAACGACACACGCAGACAACGTTAAAGTTGGACAGATTAAGTTTCCAGGATTGTCGTTTGCGTGCAACGTTAAGCTTGGACACATTCAGGTTTGTCGTTTTCTGCTTTTATCGTTGTCCGATTGAGGCGGTGTATGCTTTTAACGTAGTCCACGTTTAACGTTGTCCAACTTCGACATCGTCCCGCAATCCCCATAAGAATCACAATTTGATATCTGAGGGGAGGGAATTTGATATTTCGGGGGGGGGGGGGGGGTTATTGTAAAATGTAACTTTGCGAAAAGTGCGTAAGACCTACAATCGTGCCAAATTCCAATCTCCAGCTAATCTAGAAGTACCTAAGTAAACGTGATTTAGACCGATGCACCTGTAATAATAACATTGGGGAGGGAGAATTCAATATTACGGGGGGGGGGGGGGGGGGTGATTATTGTAAAATGTCACTTTTCAAAAAGGACGCAAGACCTACAATAGTGCCTAATTTCAGATCTCCAGCTAATCTAGACGTGGGTCAACGTAATTTACACTGATGCACCTATGTGTTGGTTATAGGATAGATAAAAGGGGGGGGGGTTTCTGAGGGGGGTAATAGACATATTCTGATCGAAAAAAACCCTTTCGGGGTCCACCCCATTGGCTCTGGAGTTTCCTTTGTTAACCTTATTAGAATGTATTATTAACTGGGACAGGTGGCGTCGTCCTGTAATCCAGCTACTAGGAAGTCACGAATTGTGGATATTTATAGGCATGCACTGTTAATGCGATACTCCCTGGTGTGGATTAACGTCCGCACGAGTGAGTACTACGACTATCCGCAGTACTATCCTGATAATTAGACCAATTCGTATATACCAAGGAAAAATGTGGTTCGGATTCCACTATAAACTGTAGGTCCCTTAGTTGCCATTAGCTGTATGGGCTATTAATTAACAGCTGTGTCTAAGGAATGTCGGCCTTAGTCACTAACAAGACTACAAGATTGTGTCACTCATCCCACACTCTTGGCTTAAAATACCTACTATGTATGGTCGCCATTTCATTGAACAGTTTTCATATTTATAATTTATTATTGTAAAAAAGTACAACCGACTTCAAACGCTCAAAAAAGAATGAAACAATTTCAATAAAGTAAACTTTTGTATTGGTCAAGCTCTCATATCGTCGGCGCGGCTCTATGATGATTTTTTATACAAAATTGAATGAGGATGTCCATATTGCAGCTGACTATCTATAACTAAAGGTGTCAATCTGCATGTCTTTTTCATAGTTATGCGTTGGGTGTTATTTTATTACCGTAACCAAAGATCGGCATTATAGTGGTATTAGGCTAACTAGTATCTTTAAAAAGATTATAACGCATTTCAATGTTTCTAACTAGGAAAAGTAACGTTTTAATATTAAACTAGCTTTTTTCCCTATCATAATATCAAAATAAATTATTTTCCTATTCATAGAACATTTGTGTGTGTTATTTTCATAATGCATTCATTCTGAAGTAAACGTAAAATACTTCCTTTGATATATAAACAAAACAGTTCAGTATGTTTTTTTTTTTATATTTATGCTATCCAGCTAAATTTATTAATTTTCAAAATAAACACACAATATTTTATTTCAATCATATTTGCAGTTAGAGCCGACTTGAAATGCGAGAGCTTGACCAATACAAAAGTTTACTTTATTGAAATTATTTCATTCTTTTTTGAGTGTTTGAAGTCGGTTGTATTTTTTTACAAAAATAAATTATTTCATGATTTTTAGTGACTGTAGGGGCAGCGCTGTAGGTAGGTCCGCCACTGACTATCAGGTTTACGCAAGGTTTCCACTCTAATACAGCAGGAAGGACAGCAGTGGCCTGGCCATGGCATTTGCCACCTAGACTGGTTGTATCAGGGAAGGTCAAATCACTTATAAGTTATAGATGGTGTGTAGTGTATACTGTGTCTGATATGGTAGTTCCAGGTAGTAAAGGGACAAACCAGACAGAGGAGATCCTGGCTCTGGATAGGGGGCGTTACTACCCTGAAGCATAGAGATAGACTCGCCAGCAAGTACTCATCACACATACATCATGGTACTGTCCGATTCTTTGATGACATAACATAGTAAAAGTAAAGACTCTAGATATTAAGCATTTCTCTCAGAATAGTTTTGTAGGTATCAGTATAAAATAAGGTAAGAATACAATAAAAATGTTTATAGTTGATATATTTTAACATTAGTAAACTTTTAAAAATTAACAAATTAACAGTTCAAAAGGTAAAGATATTTGACTTATGAACACATTTCATAAATTCTAAAAAAATAACAATTAAAATTGACGTACTGACGTATTATAATAAATTTCTTAACATTAATTACTCAAAAGAGTTCTTGATTTTACTCTAATGGAGCACTGACACACTTTGGAAAGCTGTTTATGAGACATATTATATAAAAATAAAGGTATTTTAATGTGGTAAAGGGCAATACCTTGATTAAATAAGAAGCACAATTTAAAAATATTTAGCGAAAATGGCACTAATAATATATACAGGGTGTCCCGGAACTCTCTACCAATATTTTAGGGCATTGTTCCTGGGTAAGAAACATATCTAAATATCATATTTAAATTGTCCGGAAGTCCTTATTTACTCAGATAGCCGCCATTTTGTTTTTTTCACTTATTAATTTTTTTCTGAAGATTGGTTAAACATACGAAGTTGAAACTTTGCACAAACATTTATGACAACTAGACAAAGCTACAAAAAAATTATGACCATTTTTCAAATTCATAAAACAAAATGGCGGCTGTTTAAAATTTTGTTTCTTAAATTACTCGAAAACCGTTGATTTTACAAAAATTTTACAAGAATAACTTTTTTAAGGCAATTTTATTACAAATCGATCGACACCTTAATCTTTAAGATCGGACGAGTATTAACTGAGATATGGCAGTTTTAGTGATACGTGACCGCTTTCAGCATGCGCTGCAACTAATATCCGGCGGTCACGTATCACTAAAACTGCCATATCTCAGTTAATACTTGTCCGATCTTAAAGATTAAGGTGTCGATCGATTTGTAATAAAATTGCCTTAAAAAAGTCAATCTTGTAAAATGTTTGTAATATCAACAGTTTTCGAGTAATTTAAGAAACAAAATTTTAAACAGCCGCCATTTTGTTTTATGAATTTGAAAAATCGTCATAATTTTTTTTTGTAGCTTTGTCTAGTTGTCATAAATGTTTGTGCAAAGTTTCAACTTCGTATGTTTAACCAATTTTCAGAAAAAAATTAATAAGTGAAAAAACAAAATGGCGGCTATCTGAGTAACTAAGGACTTCCGGACAATTTAAATATGATATTTAGATATGTTTCTTACCCAGGAACAATGCCCTAAAATATTGGTAGAGAGTTCCGGGACACCCTGTATGTGTAATAGTGGTAGGCCTATATACCGGTAGTTATTTAAAAAAAAAAAACAAGACTAACTCTGAAAATAATTCAAGTCCTACTAGTAATGATTAACATTAAATATAGAATATAGTTGTTATAAAAAATGAAGGGACAGTGTTTCAAAAGAATAATTTATCTAACATTTAAATTATATTTCATGTACAGCAAACGAAAGAGGCCATGGTTCTGAATTAATTATCTAAATTAATCTTTATTTATTAGGTAACGGTACTCATATAGTTCTTGCTAGCCAAACTGTTTAAGGCACAATATCATAAATTTAAGACACTTTTAATTTAATATGTATGAAACAATATTTTTTAACAATCATAATACATTTAATTAAAAAAAGAAAGGAATTGAGAGATTATTACAATTATTTTATTACTGAAATATTGTATTTATATATTTGGCAACAAAAGGTGAAATATTAATGAGATTTTTGTATTGATTATTATCTACTATTAGCTCTGTTGATAAATATAAAGAAGTAAAATAAGTAATAAATGGTAATTATAATAACCAGTACAAGTAATATTTCTACACTATTTTCCACAATTTTTGACATAGCCAAGTCTTGTGCTTTGTCGATGAATGCATGAGCAATTAAGAAAAACAGACCCAACATTCAATGTTAGCCTCTTGTTATGTCCCTTGGAGTGCTACGAATTAAGTAAATTTTTAACTAAGAGCTTTAATCATTGTTCAAGGGGCCCAAAAATTGTTGTCCATTAAGAAATCTCTGTTTACCAAATTATATATTTGTTTATTTGTAGGGTATTTACTAAATGCAAAATGTCTCAGCTATGGATGATAGGGTTAAAAAGTTAGAGTGGCGTGGCTGGTTGTATCAGATTTGTCAATTGGTTGATTTGTAGATTGATTAATTAATTTTACTAAACTTTTAGCAAACAGTCAGGTGGTTTGAATCTATTATGTATTCAATAAATAAAATACACCTATTTTAAATACCATGTTTGAAATTGCTTTTTGCCAGAATAGTGTTTATGTTTCAAATATGTCAATCAGGCTATATAAACATTTAAATGCCTAATTATGGATGCATAGAGGAATAAAAGACTCAACTTTTTATTGTTCAAACAGAGAAATAAAATGATTCTGCTCTCTTAGATTAGATTAGCTTAGATTTATAGAACACTGTCATAAATGTTTGTTAGATATAAAGTTAAACTTTGTTATGCCCATGATGCATAACATAGAATATTTCCTTGTTTAGTATAGTGCTTACTGAGTTTCATTATAATAAAGAAACTGTTTAGAAAAGAATTAACAATCACACATGCCATCCCCAAAATGAGTGCTTAAAATATGTAAGCTATTTTTATTTAAAACTAATAAGATCTGACAAATTTTAAGAAATTGTAGACCTATATTATTAGATTTATTTTTATACAAAGCAACTTGAGCAAAACATTATTTGTAAATATTTTCTTTTGCTTGCATAGCATAGCTAAAAATAAATTATAATTTAAGGCACAATAAATACACAGTTACCCAATGCATAAATACCAGGGAAAAAAAAACAAAACAATTAAAGTGTATGCATATTACATCTAAGGTACACAAAGCGAAACAGAAAAAATATTTAATCCTCAAAAATAGACAATGTTGTACATTTAACAAATTATATGTAGGATGCCATGGTGCAGTGGATCAAGGCTTGATATTCCTATGATCAAAAGAATATGGTACTATGGATGGTACCATAGTTCTTTCTTTAAACAAAAATACTCCTCTAATCATAATACCTAATTTATTAATTAACAGTTTTAGCTTGGTTTTTTATCACTTTTTACACTACAAAATCATGACTCTTGTTATTATTAGAGCTAGTTAAAGAAGTTGAAACAATGAAGGTTTAAAACTAGAACTACCTTTGGTCAACAACAGTAAAATAAGGCACAACTATATGCATCTTAAAACAACTAATGTAGGCTACTACTCTAAAAATTTGTTGACTATGATATGCTGTTTGATGTTCGTAGCAAGTAGTAGACTGACAAATTATGTTTAGGTCCATATTCATTATGTAGTGCCTTAGTTAATTCAAAAATAAGGGAAGATAAAAGTGGACATTAAAGTAGTACAAAATATTATCTTATCATATTGATAATATTCTTTATGTTACAAAACAAATTGGAAATAAAAGTTTCAATTGAGGTACTGAGGTAACCAATAAGATAATGCAATAACTATTATCAATATAATTTTTTTCAATTTAAATTCAAATAAACTTGTATTTTAAAATCTATTTTACACAATATACTATTTTTGATTCCATTTTATGGCACCTTAATGAGGATAACTACAAACAGGTAACTTTACCTCAATATTGTTGCTGTAAACACCATTATGGCTTATTTAAATGTGGCATCATCAACGCTCACAATAAAATATTAAAATAAACAAAAACACAAAGAGTGATAGTAATTATAATAGTTGATAAAAAAGATGATTTAAAAAATCATTGATCTAAACATTAATTCTAATCCACAGAAATTAAAATTTTAAGGTTTACAATGTAAACCTGACATGTTGTTTGTCAATCTCTTTAACCTGATTTGTAATTTGTAAAAAAATAAAAAATAACATCAATTTATTTTCAATTCATCTGAATTCTACTAAAAATTACTTCGGCTTTGTATATTTCAGTTATTAAAACAACTGGATAAGAATTGTACAAGTTATAATAAGTTTTTAGAGAATATTTTCCTATAGGGAAGTAGCTATTACCGTTGGTGGCATGGTAAAACCTAAGCCAATGTTACCAATTTACTTTTTCATTTTGATGTCTCCAGGGGCCAAAACTATTCGTTCAAATTGTTATATATGTGTGTCAGTGAACATGATAGCACGGATAATTTTGGTCTGATTTGAATGAAGTTAGGCTTGAAGGAGAAGGGCGGGATAAGCTTGAATGAATTCGCGAACCAGCAAGATCGGGTAATGGGGTACTTTGGGGTTTTGAAATTTAAAAAATGGGGGTTTTCAAATTTTCACTTAAAACACGGAAATGCCCAATTTCCAATAAGACCATCTTGTAGAGCTTAAAGAAAACAAATAATTTGGCATATTGATGCGTTGCTGTACAATTAAAGGTTACAGAGAAAATTTTAAAAACTGTACATTCAAAATTCCCACGTTAATCTTATGGAGGAAAAGAAAACTGTTGCAGTTGGCTTGTTAATTTATGGATATATCTTGATCAAATTTGGCAAAGTTGTTTATTTTATCCTCTGTACTATTATTATTTGGTAAAAATAAGACTAATAAACCACCCCGTAGCAGCAAACCTAATTATGTATATATTATATTCTTGAGTGTGGCAGATTGCGTGAAAATATAATAATATTGCGTTGACGGTAAGAACCATAGATATTATTACTAATTATGTACTCGCTAAATCTAATGTTATTTAAATTAGAATAAATATGTCTTGTTTATGGATTGGAAATATTGCAGAAAATATCCAATCAGACAAATTGAAATTTTCTTAGTCTGCAGGTTTGCTGTGGTAGGGGTACTTTACTGTGTTTCTTGGCCTTTTAATGTTTTTTAACATACGTTTTTAAGCACTACGCTTTCATGATGCCACATATACGATAGAATATGTCAGCGAAGTATATATTGCTACTACTTTGATTATGTTGACAGAAGTAAAGTGAAATATACATACACAGTATAATATATGGTACATATAACAATATTCAAGGATATAATCAATAGTTTACTTCTCTTTATTTTCTTGTACTGAGTTTTAGTTGATCATCACCAATTGACATTAACGTTTAACAAATTATACCCCTTCAACTCTTGTAATAAGCTTTGACTAGTTTATTATTTGTTATAATTTGGGCTCAAAGCACTTTTTATGGGTTTAAATACCACATGAAATAAATTCATACCTATAACAATAACAATACATTTTAGTTTATTTTGTAAAATATAGGCTATGCCTGATTGTTATATCATCATCAACTTTCTTTGACACAATGTGAGATATGTTGTACATATTCACTTAATAACACAGACCCACTTATCACTAGTGTAAAAAGGTCCATTTTGGTAACAGATAGTGGTAGTAAAACTTCAAACAAGTATAACAGGTATACACAGTAGCTAAATCTACATATATATTTATACATGAACAATTACTATAATACACACCATTTGATGATGTGTACAATTTCATATAGGATAAAATAAGGTAACTCGAACCCCCAACCGACTAAGTAAATCTTCTACAAGGATATATACAGGTTTGATTTAATCCTAATATTTGGAAATGAGATCACGTAAAAACAAACCTTTAAAATAGACTGTTTGGACTATAACAGTGATGTGGTGACTAAGACAGTGACTAGAGATGTGTCCGAGGGTCAGGGCTGGCGTGGAGTGGGAGTTGTCTGGCTCGGAGGATGACGGTATGATACATGTTTGCGTAGCGCGTCGCGAGACCGTGACACGTGGTTGCATGCTGAACACGCGTAGTGAGCGTTTTGATGAGTCTCCATATGAACACGCAAGTTGTACTGATTGCTAAGCTGTTTCCCACATACAAAACAAGTAGCATACAGCTTCGGGGAGTTCTTCGATTTGGTTTCAACTACGCCTGGAACAATCATAGTTAAACAATCAAGTTATTCACTGTCTAGTCTTATTGCTCCTTCTGTGACTGGCCAATAGGTTTGAGGTCTGACTGCTGTAATAAAATGCAAGGCTTGTTATACCTGAATAGTTAGTTAGGTTTTTTTCTATGACAAACGATTCAAACTCATCTGTAAGTAATAATTACCATATATATTAATTCAACGAATTATTATGCATTTTTATCTGTTCACATCTTGAATGAGACCAGAGATGTTGCAGAAAGGTAAGTAGGTATGAGGAGTTGATAAACTGTGTGGTATGTAGCTCGATATATCCATTACTTTTGTACACTGTACAGTCCAACGAACTACTGGATCCCTCTCTTAGTAGCACTGCGGGCACTGTTTTTGGTCTAGCTGGGGAGCTAGACCAAAAACAGGGAGTAGGGGGCTACTCCCGACCGGCAGAAGCCGACGCAGCCCATACACTCACCATTATTAAACGCATATTTTTATTTGCTGCTCTGTTGAAATATTTAGGGATAAAATATTGCTAACGCATGCCAAAATCTTTTTACTATTCCAGACTTTATGGCTGTTTGGTTTCTTGCAGAAAATAACACATTTGAACTCTTAAAAACTAAACATTCACTACATTTAAGTTTAAATGTTTTTAGAGCACTGACATTGCTATTGTAGTTCCAAATTATACATGGGAAATTAATCAGTAATAGCAAAGAAAGGATAGAAAATACAATATTTGTAATTTTAAACCCATCACTAAACGAAAACATATTACACATTAAACATTTCTGAATAGTTCAATCTTTAACCTTCAGAAATGTTTAATCTTATCTTATACTAATACTAGCTGTGTACCCGTTCTACGCACGGGGATCTTATAGTATTCAGTTGAAACCTTCTTATATAAAGAACCTCAGTTGGTTTGCATATTTTCAGATATGCTGGCCAAACTATCTTACTAATATTATAAATCAGAAAGTTTGTGAGTTTGTGTGTGTGTTGCTCAATCACGCATAAACTACTGGATGGATTGGGCTGAAATTTGGCATGATGATAGCTCACATTCCCAATTAACATTAAGGCATATTTTTATCTCAAAAATCCTGTTGGGCTCCAACCCAGTGGCTATGTAGTTCCCTGTGTTAACCTTATGAGTACTTATATTTAAATGGAATTAAAGAATCTTAACAGCTGGTTAAACTAAACAATTTGATTCTGTGATGTTTGATAGCATTAAAAAGTTAATAGGTTTACCAACAGGGTGCAGCACTATTATTTTTTTTTATTTATGACAACAGCTAATTTGCAACCAAAAGGTGGACGATAACTTGTATTTGTAAACAACATTCAATGTAAACATATCAGTGAGAGCTAGAAGAAATAATCTTGATTCGAACAGCTGTTTGTTATTTCATAGATAAATATGTGATAAATGTTGGGAGAAAACTTTACAAAAATTCGCACAAAATTGGGTTTTTAAATGTCCGTCATTTTATTTACAAAGTAGTGACGCCATATTTTAATGACTTAAGACAATCTCGCCGATCCAGTGAATACATTAAAATGATTTGGAAATTAATAGGTACTCTCGTTTTTCAGGAGAAGGCCGCGTAAAATGGCTCTTGGGCCGTGACAGACAGGAAGACAAACAGACAGACAGAAATTTAGATGAGACTTGTTTCGGTTTCTTTAATGTTTAAAACGTAAAAATAACCTAAAAGTTTATGATTCTGAGCAATGTACAGACAAAACTCTAATTTAATTTATATAGATTATAAATCTGAAAGTTTGTGTGTTGCTCAATCACGCATAAACTACTTGACGGATTGGGCTGAAATTTGGCATGATGATAGCTCACATTCCCGATTAACATTTAGGCATATTCTTATCTCAAAAATCCTTTCGGGCTTCGCCCCAGTGGCTCTGTAGTTCCCCATGTTAACCTTATGAGTACTTATATTTAAATGGAATTAAAGAATCTTAACAGCTGGTTCAACTAAACAATTTGATTCTGTGATGTTCGATAGCATTAAAAAGTTAATAGGTTTACCAACAGGGTGCAGCACTATTATTTTTTTTATTTATGACAACAGCTAATTTGCAACCAAAAGGTGAGTGAGCGTAGCGAACGAACTTCAACCTGGAGGCGAGTTAGCGTAGCGAACGAGCTAAACCTGAAGGCAAGTGAGCGCAGCGAACGAGCTCCAACCTAAAGGTGAGTAAGCGTAGCAAACTAACTTCAACAGGACGTAATTGAGCGATGCGAACGAGCTCATCTTGAAAATGAACGAGCTTTGACATAAAACCACATTAGGACAGGACGACGTCTGTCAGGCCAAAAAGTTGTGGTACACCTCGAACTTTACTTTTTTCTATGGTTTAGGTGCAGTGGTAGATGTGTGCTACACTATAGGATACCTTATAAATTAAAAGATCAAATTTTCTTAAAACGTGTCCTCTCCCATAACTGTAATAAGCATTTATACTTATATGCCAACCCCGTACAAGGACGGGTACTCTGCTAGTATGTAATATGTTTTCGTATAATAAAATGGGTTTGTAATTACAAATATTGTACTTTCTATCATTTCTTTGCAGTTACTATTATTTTACCATGTATGATTTGGAACTAGCAATATCAGTTGTCTAAAAACATCTAAATTCGAGTTTAGTTACTGTGGAGTTTTAAAGAGCTCAAATGGGTTTTTCTGCAGTAGCGAACGTGTTAATATCGACGGAAATTTAAATAGCATTCAGCAATTTATTTCTCGGATTTATTACCGAGTTCCGCTGAGTTAAACAAATATTACTGAAAACTTCATTATATAAAGGGCTTTACAATGATGTATAACTACATTTATCTACTGTAAAATCTATGGTGAATTTTACGCACTATTGTGAAAAATCACGGTTAAACCAAAACAGATATTGTAAAAAATAGTTAATTTTACTTACTATTTTATGAGCTGACCACTGATGATGAGGGTTTGTGTAATTTATGATTGACCAAACTACACTTCCATCAAACTAAAGAGTTTTTGTTTAGACTTTGGAAAATTTGTTATAAAAAAAACACAATACATTAGTAAAAATACACAATAAAAATCAAATCAATGACATACTTCGTCCGAAGCACAACTTTTATTAAGGTGGAATCACAGTTTGGGTGTAAAGTGCCCTCCGTTTTCCCGCATGCAGGCCCTAGCTCGCTTGTGAATTGCGCCAACTGTGACCTCATACGTCAATTTTTCCCTTACTTTCCCAGCAGCCTCAAAGATTCTCTCCCATAACTCAACTTCAGAGTTTACAACAGTTGAGTAAACTAGATCTTTCATGTAACCCCAAACAAAAAAATCTAACGGGCTCAAGTCTGGAGATCGAGGAGGCCATGTCACACTTCCTCCACGTCGACCACGTCCAATCCATTTCGGGTAGTTTTGGTATAGCCACAACCGAACTTCCGCGAGTTAATTGAAATCTTATCTGAAATATGAAAAATATACGATAACCATAACTTTATCACAAACACATTTTACTACTGTATGTTTCTTTTCTTAGCTTAATAGTTATTAAAAAAACGTTGCATGCAAGAAAAAAATACAAATTATTCGTTGCCTGCACTTAAATGTATTATTCTTCACAATAGCTTTTCTTTGCCCTACCATGTTTTTTTCACAACAATGATTGAATTACATTGGGAAATTTGAAACTTGGTAAAAACTATATTACACCATTGTAAAGCCCTTTATATAAGGAAGTTTTTAGTAATATTTGTTAAACTCAGTGGAACTCGGTAACCGAGAAATAAATTGCTGAATGTTATTTAAATTTACGACGATATTAAAAATAATTGTTTAACGAAGAAATTTAAGTAGGGTATTTTTCCGTACCCCAGCGATTATGTGTTATATCTATTTAAAATTTTGTGAGGATTCTGAAAATGACATTTAAATTAACAATTAGTGCATTTTTAACAGAGTAATATAACCTTTTTCCAGTGTTGGGAAGTAGCGCGCTACAAGTAGCGACGCTACAGTAGCGCGCTACTTTTTTTGTAGCGTTAGCTGTAGCGTCGCTACTTTTAAAATTTTGTAGCTTTAGCTGTAGCTAGCTACATTTTTAAAGTAGTTGTAGCGGAATTTTAGCTACTTTTCTCGCTACATTTACATTGTTTGAGATAGTGATTTTTACCATAACCTCAACCTTACGTGAAACAACATCTTTCAAACTGAGACTGAGATTTTCACAACAGTTAGGCCTACTTTCTTGGCTTCATACAGCTGGTTGCAGCCGTTTCATTCCCTATTACAACGTTGTGTGGACATGGAGACCATTAAATGAGTGTTATCCACATTTTTAGCTCTCATTTCCTTAATTTACTACTCTATGATTACTGTCAGATAAAATAAAATCGCTACATGCAGACGACATTTAAACGTTACCGGTACCAGTGACAATACAAGCTATTGAACGCTTGCAAGTGATTGACAGGGAAATTAGTAATCAATTTAGTTTCTTTGTTATATCGATAGTGTTTTAACTAGGGTTTTAATGAAAACCAACACTTAACCTTAAAATAATGAGAAAGCTGGTCTATCAACCTTTGCTTCAGCTGTTGATTGTGGTTCATCATCACAAGCCCTTCCTTGGTTAGATTACAAAGATTTTTCTAAGGTTTACTAAATTAACAAAGAGGAAATTACCTGATGATGAGATTTAAGATATGCCTAGACTACATAATAATTGTAACGAAAAAATCTCCATATAACATGAAACTTACATTTAAAAAATAGCATAGTTTGCTCCTGCTAACTGCTCTTGTATTGGACTATTCCTAGGCTATGCTAGGGCTTAAAACGAATACCAAGTTCAATTATTAGGAATATATCTGTTTAGTCCTTGCAAGAACAAAGCTACTATAGCCAACTTGTTACATAGCCAAGTAGGCCTACATGTTATTTTTACTTTACAAATTTCAACATGTTTAAATTAAAAGCCGATTTCAGGATAAGTTGCTGCTGAATACTGTTTTCTGTACCAACTAGGTTGAAGCACTTGCCCTATGCATAATGACAATTAAGGACGATTTCTTGACATTGAAAAGTGTTATTCATAGAGAACAAGTAACTTATCACTATGGTTAAAAGTTATAGCAATGTCGTTTTTAACATTAAAAGTAAAGAAAGGTAATAAACTCCAATTTCAATAGGCTAGGCTCTGTAACACAAAAAAGTATTTTTAAATAATCGTTTTACAGTTTAAGTGGTCTTAATTGTTGATATAAGACATCTATAAATAAATCTATATTAAAGAAATAAAATGAGCTTTTAAAATATAGTTTGGTTGTATGTCCTTTGAACTTAATGAAATTTACATATAAGATGCTTAAAAATAATGCAATATTTAAAAATAAGTACTAAATATGATGGGACACCCAATTATTTGATGCTGTTGTTGTAATGTTAGGTTTATAATGCCAACAAATTAAATCAAATCTAGGAATAATTTGTTTTCCAAGTAATGTTATATACAATACTGACATTTCTTGTTTAAATGTTTGTTCAATAAAAATGTTGTTGCAATTAATTTTACATTTACCTAATGTGCGTGGAATAAAAAGTAACGTCTTTGGAAAAGTAGCTAAAATTGTAGCTGTAGTTGTAGCTAGCTACTTTTTCGGAACTGTAGCTGTAGCTGTAGCTAAGCTACTTTTTTGGAAATGTAGCAGTAGTTGTAGCTAGCTACATTTTAAAAGTAGCTTCCCCAACACTGCCTTTTTCATAACAACTACAATAATTTTTGGAAAACCTTAATTAATTTGTTATTCCCTAATGGTTGAGGTTGGGAACCTCAAATGTGCGTCATTATGTCGCCATTACCATGTAGTTTGATGCAAAATTTTATTTAACACTTATGACCGGACACCCTGTATATATATAGTCAATGCTTATATTTACTCCAAAGGAAAAAAATACCAAACCCTTAAAATATTTTAGTTTACGGGAGTGGGACCTACCACTTCTAAAGAACGCCACCGTGTCTGTCATCCCTATTCTCTTACTTAAGAACAACCCTAAAAACTTTCACTGAATAGGTAAGGTACTATCATAAAAATAACGAGGAACTTATATAAATCAGTTTTAATTTACAATTCTCTGGACGTACATCACTGTGAGAACCGAAGTCTTGGGGAAAGTCCACGGGTGCGGGACTTGCCACTAGGGCGGTCAATATCTTCAAAAGAACGCCACCGCGTCTGCTTTCCCTAACTTAACAACACCCTTATAAGCCCTAAATGAATAGAGACTATCATAAATATGACAAGCACCTTTTACAACTTCTTTCCATTTCCAATCAACCTGACCTGACCTCCATTGGCGTGAGAACGAAAGTATTGGGGAAGTCCAGGGAAGCCTAGTACTGCGTAGATGAAAGAGAAGCCGCGTTGGATGACCTTGCCACCCCTTCGCATACCTTCATCAGCAATATGTCATAGTTTGACTTTTTACAACGCAATTTTTGTTGTTTAAATATTTCTAAATTAACTAAGCGAATAGCTGATTATAATTCATTATTTTTATTGGCATTTGTGTAGCCACAATATCCGGATTGAGCGTAGTAAACAAACATCAACCCGGACGTGTTTGATTGATGCGAGCGAGCTCATCTTGAAAATGAAACATTGTATGAAAAATGAAATAAATTTGTATTTATTTCTCTATTGAATAAATGTAACGGTAGTTACCTCACCACTGTTCACAATATTTGACCCTGCTATTACAAAAATATGTTAGTTAATTTAATATTCAAACTCGTGTACATGTTGCTCGAATTCGAGCAATTTCAAAGTATTACAGAAGTTATTTCAAAACGACAAACAGTCATATTTTCAATGTGTTTAAAAGAGTCTACTCAAAAATCACCGGTGTGTAACTCATGTATATACATGTATATACAGTAATTAACATTTCCTGTAAATATTTTATGATATTTCATAACTTGGTATTGCTTTTTAATGTATCTGCAAATATTTCCTGACTTATAGCCGTATAACGTTTTCCATGTTTATCTTATTTATTGATAAACCTATGCATGGTACCACCCTTTTCGCCAGCAGTAAGTTAACAAATTTCAGTAATTCTTTAGTAAAGAACTTTTTTGATCACCTTAATGACTTCCTGTTGTCTGTCACAATTTTATTTGTTCAATTGGTGTTTTTTTTTTTATTTAGCTAAATAAAACATTTATTTCATTGAAGTAAACTAATAGGCCTATTTATATTCACTGTACTCTATTTCAAAAATATATCGATTGAGAAACAAACAATTAGGTACACGTAATAAAAAACCTCATAGCTGAAAATCGCCGTAATAAAAACCGCCACTACAAGAAACAGAAGTTGGTACGCCTGCAGCTCCCTCCACAGCTGCTGGCGCTGCCGCTCAACACATCCCCACCTAAAAGACGAGCAAGTTGTAAGTCGGCCAGGTCGATTGCCGAGCAGTTTGTTTCTCGCGTATAATAATTTAGTTTTACAGGCCGGTCAACTGGACTGGCGACGAAATAACTTGTCAACGTACTGGTTTTCAGTATTTATCTATTTATTTAAAAAAGAAGGTCTAGTGGCCAGACGACCAAGTATCTTGTCGGTCAACTGGTGGCCCCCCCATAAAACATTGTAAAACTGTATTGTGAACAGACCACGGATAACTGAAAACCACGGTTCATCCAACATGACATAAAACAGTCATTTGTAACTCATAAACGCCTAATACTGTATAAATGAACTTAATTGTGATAATTTGCATATTACACCATCAAAATACAATTAGTAGGCTATTGCGCAATCATGATAATTATGTTAAACTACAACCGTTTTTTAAAGTAGCTGTTTCAGTTCAGTTTTTAAAATTGAAAAGTTTCTCATAACAGCATAGCTTTACTCATAACAAAACGGGTAACGGACCAATGAGGTTCAAGGATTGCGAGAGAAGAAGTATAATTGTAATGATTCGAACTTCAACTAATAAGCTGTTCAGGCCAATTTAATTGTTGAGTGGTGCAATTAGTGTTTGGTACAATGTTTTGTTGCATCACTGTCAGTGGCAATGAGACGTTATAAACGAAAACATAACCTCTCTTAGAAGTTATGAGTAGTGGTTTTTAGTACTTAAAGCACTGTCGTAGGTTAAGTAGAGTATGCAACTCGTGTAAATAGTGTTAACGACACTCGTAGAAGTTTTTAAGGCACTCGCCAAGGCATGTACCTTAAATTTTCTACTTGTGTCGTTAACACTATCTTTATGCAACCTTTGCGTAAACTACTATTAAGTCATTAACGTTAGTTAGTAATAAAAACTGTAACGTTTAAACTCACAGATTTCTCAAACTTCTACGCTTACAAACAAATTGCCAAACATTGTACAGCAAAATAAAGAACAGAACAATAGAAAGTCTAGTTACTGCTAGTCATAGGATAACTGCTACGCTGTTTCAGGAGAGAAGAATGTCGATAAAACATTAGATAATGTATAAAAAAGTATAAAATAACAGTAGCCTAATTATAAATGAAAACAACAGTAAAATACACTGATAAAGATAAAAATGACATAAAAACAATGATTATTCTTTCTATTTGTTCTTCTATTCTTTCTTGAGTTTCTCTTCATTCACCCATTCAACAAGTATCCATAGTTACTAATCACTCAATCACAGGCTACTAAAGTTGTCATGGTTACCAAATACCCAATCACAAAATGTTGAGACAAAGCAAGTGCACAGCAGACTGATGTGTAGGCCTAAGGAGCAGACGATTGTCAGTGCAAACAGATAGCTTGACCTTGAAGCTTTGTTTGATGGTGCTTTTTTTTGCTTCCATTTTATTTTTGTCAAATGGACTGTGATTTTTCAAAAACAACAATGTGGCAGCCTACTGCATATAAATGATGGGTGGAAATAGTTAAATATACAACGAATTTCAACACAATTTATAAAATTGTCTAGGTATTTTTCTTGGACAATGAGGTTATATAAGTGAAAGCCTATTGTGTCGGTGGCACGGTCGGACCAAGCGAGGAGTCGGGACTATCCGAGGTCCGATTAGTGAGGTTCTACTGTACAAGTCAATAGGTTGATTTTTGCTAGTAACAAAATGTTTGTGAATGAAAAGGGATTCAGTCAGTCATTTAGCCACTGCTAGGGCTGATAGCTGTAGTAATAAGAATTCTTTGATGAACTCTGTAGACTTACCTTGGGTCAAATCAGTTGGATTGCCAGTCAAATCTATGCTGACTGTGGGAGGACCTGGGTCAGCCTCAATATTGTCAGCACTCCTGTGGCTCAAATCTTCAGCTATCAGCGTTGGCTGATCCAACGTCGCGACTACATTAGCATTGGCCTCTACCCAACCATCGTCTACTGTTTTTGATCGACTTTTGACAGTGGTACTTGTTGAGTTATTGTTAGTAGAAGCAGGACTTGAACAGTTCACCTCTTCGCCAGATCCTGCTGTTGTCTTTACACGTTTGCATCTTGGACTTCCACCTGTATTTTCTTTCTTTCCTACTTCACTATTAGCTAAGTTCCCACTCTGAAATACAGACAAAACAATAATTGATAGTAGTATACTGTGAATTTGAATATACTATTTAATATAAACTAGTTGTCGTCCAGTGTTCGAAAACTCGACCAAAAATTTGTAATGTACAGACTTCTCTATTTTTACCCCACGCTGAAAATAAAACATGTTATTGTAATTTCTTCCATTTGTTTTTATTTTCTGCTTATATTTTGTTGTTATTTTGTCACCAGCATGGCAACCCATGAGGCCCATGTTAACTTCTTTAAAATTTAAAATTAATTTTTTGTGCTTATTTTTTAGCCTATTTTATTTTATAAAGGAATTCTGCACATCTACAGGAAAATATCTTTCTAACAGTATGAGCAGATTTTCCCTGCAATGCACACGAGCTGAGAAAAAGGGTTTTCAATAAACTTTTTTGTTTATTAATATACAGAATTATATAATATAGAGAATTATTTAAGGATCCGGATATTGTTGCTGAGGTAAGGAGCAGATGACTGAGATGGGCAGGGCATATTCTAAGAAAAGATGACAACTCCCTATCAAAGAACATCTTGAGGAATAACCCAGAAGGTAGAAGACCCCTTGGAAGACCGAAACTTAGATGGTTCGACCAAGTGGAGAAAGACCTGAGGAAGCTAGGGAGAAGGAAGGAAGATGCAAGAAGCAGAGACCTATGGAGGCAGTGTGTTGGGGAGGCCAAGTACCATCTAGGGTACCAGTGGCCACAGCAGTAAGTAAGTAAGTAAGTAATATACAGAATTAGCCCCATGTTAAATCTCCATAAGAAAAGTTTAATTTCCATTTTTGACCTAATTAACAAAAATGTTCTCAAAATACAAATAAAACCTGCACATATAGGACATGCTTGCCTATTAATACAGTAAGAATGGAAAAGTGTAGGTGGATTCAAATGGCAATAGCAATAAAGGTCTTTGTCATCTGCCATCAGGTTGGTAACACATCACAATAGCTGTTTTTTTCTAGAACATAAACAAATCTAGCAGCAGGAAAACTTTCTATAGGCAAGATATCAAGATTACAGAAATGAGAAAATCACACTATACTCTGTTCGGCGAGTGTTTGGAGTGAAGCGCCGCCCGCTGTGGGAGTGACATTTGAGTCAGGCCTGTTCACAGTAAACCCCCTGCGCAGCCTTGCTATTGGTATCAACCTCGAGTCCATTCAAACACTTTTGTTACTAATTTGACCGGTGGAATGTTTTTAAAAAGCCCCCGAAGAAATGTCAACCTCTTAATTCCACCATCTCGGGGATCACTCTTTTTAAGGGTAAAGAGGCTCCCACAGGGCTAGGCCAAATAAACCTGTGGTACGGAGTAACCCATTTCTTCTATTTATTAAAAGGATGTTGTTCTTCAGCTAATACAGATTCATCACTGTTACTAATGTCATTTTCTAAATGTATTACTAGATGTGAATTTTCTTCCTCCATACCTTTAATAATGTCATCCAGCTTTCATAATTTTTCTCCTTCCTTAATGGCGTGTTCCACACATCTCTTCCAGCGATCTTTTGTCACTCCTGTAATGCCTTCTTCCATAAGATGTTTTGCTTCAGGGAGCTTAAAGCTTTTATTATTAGAAGTAATGTAACCCTTGATCTGTGCCCAAATTAATTCAATTGGGTTAAGTTCGCAGTGGTACGGGGGCAGCCTCAAAACTGTTTTATTTGAAGCTTTGCTTCTTCATCAATGACGTACAGTACTTCATATTCTTTGGCTTTTCTTTGTACGCTAGTTCTAGTAATTCTTTTTTTTAACAATGTCTTGTCAATGTTGATTCCTTTTGATACCAGCCACTCGACTAGTTGATCTTTATTCCAAGATGATGTTGGGAGTTTTTCTACCTTCACGGAATGATAAGGCGCGTTGTCAAGCACAGTCACACAGTTTTCTTTCAGATTTGGTAGAACTCGTCGAAACTGTTGCAGAAATACATCGCCATTCATTTCATTGTGGTAGTCCTCTTTTGATTTGGATTGGAAAATCAATGATGCGTTGTTTACAAATCCATCTTCATTACCAAAAAGAGAACTATAAGACGCCTACCTTTGCCGCTTAGATTTTTCAACTCCGTTGAAAGTCCATTTAGAAAAGCATCTTTTCTACTCTTGACTTCGCCATCAATCCAAACTTAATTGTTTGTTTGACCTTCATTTACCCATGTTTCGTCTTGGTTGTATATTGGCCTACCTTCTTCTCTAAACCTCTTGATAGATCGCAGATATTTCCTTCTCCAAAGAAAGATATCGTCTCTATCGGCAAGGATCATATTTCTTCCCCTAGTGCTAAATTTGAAACCTAACTGCTTTAAAATACCGTAAAATGTAGTATGTTTAAAACTTGGTAGATCTCTGCCTTCATTTAATGCACACAATACTTTTTCTACTGTAGGCTGTTCATTTTTGAAGAAAAACTCATCAACTTTTGTCTAATAGCACATTTAGTAAAGTTGTCAATTCTTTCAAAAGTACTGAGGCTTTTTTTCTTATTTTTGGGAGATTTTAACCCCGAAACATGATCTTTATTGTAGGCGGAAATTAATCTGTACACGCTACTTTTTCCCACTCCTACCATGGCGGAAACCTTTTTAACTTTTTAAAAATATTAGGGGTTTCAGATAAAATACTTTTGTAAACATTAACCATTCACTGTTTCTTAACAAGGTTTATGTTTATAATATGAATTTGTCCACATTTATTCCTACTCACTGGTGAAAGAGTCTCCATAGTTAGCCTATAAAAATAGTTTTTGTGGATTAATATCATAAACTAATACCGGTATATATGAAACTACTGTACAATCAATGAAATAGATAACGATAACTAACTATTAAACGCCACTAAATAAAAATATACTGTACACTACGACTACCCAAGAAATATCTTTATACAAAATCGTGAAAACCATGTTATATAAAAACACTAACTCAAGAACTGTTGATGTTTAGACTGCTGGCAAGCGACTGAGGGCATGTGAACCAGCCTTTTATGATGACACATTCTGTCATACTTTCTCTTTCCCTATAGGCTACGACCCTTAGTCCCGTTAGACTTGGGGAGGCGCTTCACTCCAAAAACTCGACGAACAGGGTATAGTTTTAGAGTTTAATTTTTACTTTATATATAACAACACATAATGTTATAATGATGTCTGTAAAATATTAAATACACATGAAGAATTACTCTCCAACACTAATTAATGAAAAAGTTCTTCTTCTAAAGAGGGTGACATTGGTTTGGAAGCCATTAATACCATGTACATTAATTTTTTTTTAATATAATTTCTTCATATAACTTAGCATATTTAAATTGAATACAGATTTCTCTTTTAGACGTGGCTAACTGTTTCAGACTCTACACTCACTTTGGTCCTAGGATAACTACAACGTATCATCATGCCTTCTAAGGTATAATTAATCCCTAACATATTTTAGCTTGTGTAGAGTCATTAAACTTTATATTTTCAAGCTGTAGCTTCAATTTCAGGGTAAACCTGGGCAAGCTGTAGCTTCAAATTCAGGCCTTAACTACTTTACACATTTTTGTTGGTTTACATACCCAAGTAAACTCAGCGAGTCCTCTTATCTGCAACGTTTCTGCGACTGATAGCAAGCCTGCCAACTGATGCTCGTAAACATTGACTTCTCCGCTGTACATGAAAGTGACTAGAGCCACAAGGTCAGTGAAGTATGTACCTGGCAGCACGATCACAGGGTGTTGAATAGGGATCATCTCCTGTTCAAATAATAATTGCTAACTATTAAACATTTAAAATGGAATTTTTTTCAAAAGTCTTGCAGGTTTTATAACACTTTAAAACAGTGCTTGATTTGTAAAAAAGGAGGTACCGGAACTGTATCCTATTTAATGTCATTCGTACCAATTTATGCCAATATTTTTATCTTTCCAAAAGAGAGGTACCAGAACTCCATTTTGCAGCGTTCCCCTGCAAACCGAGCACTGCTTTAAAACAACATTCAATCAGGCCAATAATTATTGGCCTAATTACTGGTTTTATTTGTTTAAACCTACTTTTGCATAATTTTTATTCAATATTTATGTCTAATTGTAGGTTACAATTTTTTTTTTAATTTTGTCAAGTCTAATCAAAATAAAAAGTAAAACTCTTGCTAAAATAGCTAATTTATCTACGGTTCTTAGAGTTGTGCAATAAGAGAGCCTTTGTGATTTTTCAACTTAAAATGTTAAGAATTATTTGCTTAGTGTCATAACCTGTCTCAGGTAGTTCACCATGTGAGTTGAAAAGAAAGTTGTTAAATCATGTCTGAACTGTAAAAACTACCAGAGTAACCAAATACTTCAAAATAAATTCTTGAAATTTAAATCCTAAAAAGGTGTTTGTTATTCAAATTGAGATAATTACATTTTGCCATTTTACACAGAAGCGGTTGCTTTTTGACGAGAAAGTAAATGTTTACAGAAAAGGACTGTTAAAGTCAGCTAGAGAATAGTAGAAGCGGCTGCTTTTTGACGAGAAAGTAAATGTTTACAGAAAAGGACTGTTAAAGTCAGCTAGAGAATAGTAGAAGCGGCTGCTTTTTGACGAGAAAGTAAATGTTTACAGAAAAGGACTGTTAAAGTCAGCTAGAGAATAGTAAATTGACTGGTCAGATTTGTAATAGCCTACAACAATGCCATAGGCTGTCGATGAATCTACCTCCCCCCTTCCCTACCACAAAGATGCTAACATTTTGTTGGTTTGAACATGAATCACTTTCACCGCCATTGTGCAGAGTATTGTGATCATTTACGGAATCCATTGCAATAGAGAATATTGTGAAATCCCAAATAAAATAATTGTTTAAGTCAAGCGAAATTAGCTCAAGTCTGCTGCCTAATGAATCTAAAATCAGGTATGAGTTGGTGAGTCGGTGGCTCAGTCGGTAGCGTCGCGGACTTCGGGCCCAAGGCAGTAGTGTCGTGGGTTCGGATCCTGGTCACTGCCACTAACTTTTATCAGTACAGTTCACCTTTGTACTGTACCGGCTCACCCCTTGCTTTGCTGGATACAATCCACGCACAGATCTGTAGTCTATGTGGACGTGCAAATGCAAGGTAAAAAGAGGCCGCCAACCTCTTTAAATTAAAAAGAGAAAAAAAAGAGTTAAAGCTGGGTTTTCCTAGGCCCGGAAGAGGAACGCAGAGAGCAGAAAAGAGAAAAGCATTTTCCCTCCGCTCCCTAAAAAAAGCTGCGAGAAACATGACTTTGAAAGAGCAAAACGTGTTCTGTGTTTTAGAATTTCATTGATTTTAATTTGTGCAAATAATTTAAAATTGTAGTTAAAATCTAAAAATGTCTGTAGAGACTAATTTTGCAACTATGATTACAAAAGTGGTGTCAAAACAAAACTTTAGAATCTTCTCTTTCAAATTGATTCTCATCCTGTGATGATAGTATATAGGTATAGTTTTTATTAGGAATTAAATGTGAGATTTTTTAAGGAACATTTTGGTGAAAATCCAGTCAGGTATAGGAAATTTGCTGAGTCTGCAAGTTTCTGCAGCAGGGGAATTTACATTTGTGTTGTATTTTTTTTTGCAAAGTTTCCAATAAAATGTTTACAACATGGTTCAACAATCTTCATGGTGGGGATACTTGATCAGGGGGGGTACCTGTTTATTGCTGTTTTCACGTACAATATCAAGTTAAGTATGACTGTAAGCCAAATAGTGTAAAGATGTCTTACAATCTTATAAATATTAGTTTTAACCACTTAGGCCCTCTACACACAGAGCTACTTAGTTGGTAACTCAACCAGTTGGTAACTAGTTACAGAGACTGATTGGTGACTTGGCTCCACACACGAGGCTACTCATCACTAACCAAAATCTCGACATCTGACATGTCGGACAGTTTAAGTGGTGACGAAACCATAATATTGTATCACATAAGAAGGAGATGAAGAATTATCAGAAATGTTGGATACACCCATAACTTGAGAAGATTTTTTTAAATAGGTTGTCGCTTCAAAAGAGATAAACTTATGTGATGCGAAATGCCTGGCATTCTACAGAATGAGTTAAGAAAGTTATTTGGAACTTGTTCAATTGGTTTCCTCTATTTTGCGGAAGGTAAATGTAAGATAATATAAAATACTAATAAATGCTGCAAGTAAAGAATGTGTTTATTATTCAACAAGAGTCATCATCACCACAACAACAAACTAAAATATAAAACATATGTTAAATGCAAAGGCATATGAATGACACTACATCTCCCCTTCCTCATTATATTTACTCATATCTTATTGGTGGTCTGATAGTTCTGCTCGATCTTCTTATTCCATCATTGTGGTTTGGCTGCACCCTCCTTCCACGGTAGACATCGTCAGAATCATCATTCTCTTTTCTTGGTAGGGGAATGAGATGCCATCTGTTTCGTCTTACATCATTCCCATTACTCAATGATACTATGTAGGATCGAGGTAGATTGGTTGTTGTTCTTATGGTTCCTTTCGCACTTATATCTTTAACCCAGACTCTCTCTCCTACTGCTAAAGGTGGAAGTTCTTTGACGCCTCTTCTGTTGTCAAAGTTTTTCTTGACTCTGTCTCTTATTTTCTTGTCACAGTTTCGAAAGGATTCTATTTGATCTTTTCCAACCACTTGAAAGTCGTTGAGAGAAGGTAAAGTTGTTCTTAGTTTTCTACCATACAGCAGCTCTGCAGGTGATAACCCCGATTCCAATTTGGTGGTCCTGTAAGCTAATAGACCAAGATTGGGATCCGGACACTTTAGTAGAATCCTCTTGGCTATAGATACAGCGTTTTCAGCTTCTCCATTCGATTGAGGAAAGTGTGGACTACTAGTTACAGCTCTAAATCCGTACTCTTTTGCGAAACCTTTGAACTCGTCAGAAGTAAACTGAGTACCTCCATCTGTACGAATTTCTAGAGGGATCCCGTGTCGTGCAAAAATGTTTTTCATCCTTCCAATAACTGCCGCTGAAGTCAAAGTATTGAGTTCGATGAGCTCTAAAAATCGTGAGAAATAATCTTGTATTACCAAATACCAGTTTTGGTTACATTTCAAAATATCTGCACATAAATGGGTCCAAGGCTCTTGAGGAAGCTGTGTAGACATCAGAGGCTCCTTTCGCTGTAGTCTGTGTTCTATACATGTTGGACAATTTTCCACTGTAGTACTAATTTCTGTTGAACAGCCTGGCCACCAAACAGATTCTTGAGCACGCCGCCGACATTTCACTATACCCAAATGTCCCTCATGTAATCTTGATAAGATTTCTTTTCTCAAGGCCTTTGGAATGAACATCCTCCTTCCCTTAACAATTAATCCATCTTCCAAAGCGAGTTCATTGCGATACTTCCAGAATACCGAATTTTTCCGCCATGTATTCTCTTGGATGCATTTTAAGAGCTCCTGTCCTTCCGGGTCTTCATGTTGGGCATTCTTAACCCTAGATCTGGCGGTCATTTTATTCCCCAGTGGCGGGTATATTTTGGCGCTTTTGTAGTGGTATCATATATTTTGCCACAGAACATTTATTTGTGAATATAAATACACACATATATATATTTTCTATTTCAGTGATGAATTTAGAATATAATAATATACAAATATTCTTTTCCTAGCAATGTGTTTAGGCGTAGTAGCAAAAGGTTTGCAAATTTTTGGATTATGCAAATTAGAAATTTCAAAAGCAACCCACAAGAAAACCACAAAATAATTTTTTTACACATTTTATCTAAATGTAAAGTTTGTGTGAAATATGATTCCCTACGTAGAAATATCAATGTTTTTTAAATACTCATAAAAATAAAATTATAAAAAAATAAATTCTTCATACATATTTTCTTTTTTGAAAAACTACCAAATTTCTTTTTGTCACGTAGGAAATAATAAAATGCATCAACAAAAATGAAATGATACTGTACAATAGGTAATAAAAAGATATTTCTGAAAATATATAGTTATATTTAGTTGAATTCTAAAATGTCGGAGAAATTTACGTCGGAATGTAAAATTTTGAAGATTTTTTTACAAAAACATAATATTTATGACATTTTTAAAAAGAAATAAAATTTTTACAATCAACCTTATAGATTCACAGGGAATTGTAGGGAATTTATTGTAGTTTCAGAATATGTACTAATATTGTATACAATTTAATTGACAATCACCAAAAACAGCTGTTTTTGTAGTCAGGTGACCAAAACCTTCCACCGCCAAAATCTATTTTGAACTCTCTAGTTTTTCAAACTACCGTTTATCGCAACATAATACTCACTCAATAATGTTTTATGCATGAAAATGAATCCTCAGAATCTCATCTTTCTAATGGTATAAGATTTATTGCGTTTTAAAACTGTTTTCATATTTTAATAATAGAAAAACCCGACCCATGTCATCTTGGTCTATAATCGACCAGCGCCACTGAGAACTCACGTTTTAGTGGTCGAAAATCGACCAGCGCCAGATAGAGGGTTAATTTCCAACAGCCGTTTATCAGAACAAGGCAATGCATCAATTATGCTTCTTACAAACATTTCTTCCTCCAGATTCTCGATAACCTCATTCTCCCGATCCATTGGTGAAATTTCAGGGCTTCTTGATAGTAAATCTGCAGTTACATTTTCTTTCCCCGGGATGTGAACAACTTCGTAGTCGAAATTTTGCAATCTCATACGAAAACGTTGCAGCCGAGAAGAAAGATCAGAGATCGGCTTTGAACCCATTATCTCAGTCAGAGGCTT